GCCTCATGCACAGAGGATGCTCAGGCTTCATTCCTCAGCAGAAATGCCATCTATATCTCTATGTTCTACCTCGGGTTTAACTTGCTATTTGGAACCCTTACTCAAAATGCATATCTGGTATTTTGATTATGAATTGTCACATAAACAGAGTGATTGATTGAAGTAATTTACATGGAAGCATTCATGGTGTTTCTGAGCAAGGGAAAATCCACAGAAGCACATGGCACTTAATTACATTGCTTAACAATAAACATCAAGTTAAACCTTTTTAAAAAAAGATGAATGCTATACTTAAGGAAAGTGCAATTACATTTCTATGGTTTGAAATGTTTTACACACTGTATATATTAGAAGGGCAAAGATATTAACACTTCTGTACATGCAAAGGTGCTGACAGATTTCAGATGCTACAAGGCAGGCTTTTGTAACTGCTGTCCGCTTATTGGTTGCAAAGGGAACTTGTTTAATGTAATGTGCTGTTAATCTGAGCTCATTTACTTGTATGCAACCGCATTTGCATACAGACACACTTCTCAGAACTGATTGAGAGCATGAGGACTAGTGGTCCCGATTTGGTAAATTGTTGCGTATAAACAGGATTTGCATTCAGATTAGTGTTTTATATCACAGCCTGATTATACGTCCCATTTTAATAATTTTGCATGAATGGCAACAGTAGATTTCAGAAAGCCACTCCTCTGATTATATATTCCAGTTCTAAATTTAATTAAAAATGTCTCTCCTCCCTTTTTTTCTCCTTTGCTGAAATTTAGTAACAGACCTGGAATTTCTTGTCCAATTAAGTAACATGCATGCTTCTATAACAAATCATTATACCTTCCAAATTACATTCAGTAATTTATTTAATAAAAGACTGTCATACTGCTTGTTTATTCCTGTGGGAGGGTAACGGAGGAGCAACTGAACTCCACAGCGTTCATCATCACAGTGTTCTACTTGTTGCAGAACAGAAGAGAGTAAGAAGTCGTCTACAGAGAGAAATGGGATGAGGTGCAGAGTTCCCCAGCCTAAGTCTGAGCAAGTCCCTGTGTCCAGAGGACACTGTTCGCTACTGGGCAGAGACACTAGCTCAGTTCTTTCCAGCAATACAGCTATGTCATTGTGGTGCAGCTCTCCATTCTCACCCTGAATTACAAATTAAAAAAAGAAGAAATGAAATTGTGAGGATAACTATTTGACTACATCCAAAATCCAAAATAAAAACCAAGGTTAGTTTTAATGAGGAGCAGTTTTCCAATCTAGTTTGCCGTCTGACTTCTACCAGTTCAGCGCCACAGCAGTGGCATAACTCAGAGATGTGTGTGGAGGGCAGTTCTCACATATATTCAACATTTGCACACGTAGGCATCTGCACTGTTGCCTTTTCTGAACTGGTGTGACAGAAGCCTGTCTTCCGTCCTACTCTGCACAGGAGCAACACATCCTCTCCACTGTTGCTGGGATGGTGCAGCTTTTCTGTGCTCAGATTTGTAAGTGTTATAATGGAGCACAATTCCTTTGATAAAGACAGCTCATTTCTTTTTTTCAATCCATGAATTTGAAGAAAATATATGAAATAAGATGGTTTCAGTGCCATAAATTAAGTAAAGCATTATAATCTAATTGCACTATGTGTTAAGAGTATTTTTCCTGTTGCTTAGCAATGAGATTTACCTTGAGAGTCACCGTGTGCTTAAGATTCCATTATTAACTTCTGTTTTCAGAGGTCTATAACTTTAATAAAAATCATTACTCATAGGACAATCCAGAAAGTGCATGTTGAAAGTTCTTTTTGTTGTTACGGGGTCACTTGCTAAGAAAGCTTGGGGCAGAAAGCTCTGGTGCCTTCTGATTTCTGTACATCTTCCCCTGTTCTACTATAGGTGGTAAATTTTGAAAGTAGCTTCTCGAGCAGCAATTGTTTTGTATGTTTTTGAAGCAGTAAGCTATTTATAAAAGTGTTCTTTTACTTTAAAGGTTCTACATAGAGTTGTTTTTACCTTGGCTTAGAAGAGCAGCAACTGCTTTGTGCTTCCCCACAAAACTGAACGCCTAGGAAAGGGTTTGAGCACTGGCCTTTGGGGTCTTCTCCATTAGTGGTTCCCATAGCAGTAGAATAGGTCTAGATGTTTTCTTTGGGGAACTGTGATGCTTGTGAGGTAGGAGGATCACATGGAGCTTGATGAAGGAGACTAGTACTTGAAGAGATTGGAGGAGCAGAACCTCTGGTAAGAGTGAAAAGAAAAGCTATAGGACAGGCCCAGAAAGTCACCTTGTTCCACAAGAGGAGCTAGCTTAAAGTTAGGGCCGGCAAGTATATACAAAACCAGACAGCTTTTAGCTATGGGGAGAAAACAGTGTATTTATTTTTTATTCCAGTTACCTCTGGTAAGGGTGGGGTTTGGATTGTCTTGCACTACTGCATGAGGCAGTGCTATACCTGAAAGGACTTGAAGTTGAACTCATGAAGAAAAGGGCTGAAAACTAAGTTTTTTTTAAGAACCAAGTGTTTTCAGCAGACAAAGTGATTGGAAACTGTGTCAGAATGACAGTAGTGCCACTCATAGATGTGTTTCAGGACTACATCTTGCTGCAAGGCAGAAAGCAAAAAACCAGTTTATTCATGGTTTCTGCAGAAGTGTTTAAGGAAGGAAAATATGATTGCTGGACTTGTAAATATGGACTTAACAAGAGATTGCAGGATCAGCCTTTCTGAAGACATGTAGGGAGGGAAAGGTATTTTGAGTTAATCCTTTTTAAGAAAAGTAAAACCCTCTATACCTTAGTGTTTCAAAATGGTTGTGATTATTATGAAAGATTCGGGTTTGCATATTGAGATTTATGCACTTAACTATGTATAGAGGATATGTGTCTTTAGTTGCGAATCTTTAAGGAAGTTGACTTTACTCGTGTTGTAAACTACTGCTACTTTTTAACTTTATATAATTTCCATTTGTCACCTTTATAATGGTTAATTTTTAATTAAGAAACCTAGAAATTCAAAGTTCATGCCTTCCAGTGAGCAAAGTAATTTTTACTGGAAAAGGAGACATTCATCAGCACTGGCATTTAGCTTGCTTTAAAACTAACTAAGATTAGTTAAGAAAAACAAAGCAAAATGCAGATTTTTTTCCTTTTAGATAAACGGGCTTCTCTACCCCATGCTTACGTTTCAATACATACACTTTTGCACATATATGTAACTTTTCTTTGGGGTTATGTAGTCTCAGTATAACTGTGAATGCTAATTACTTCTAGAAATCTGCTAGGTATATGTCATTTTTGTTGACAAAATACAGATATTACAAAATAATATAGATATTATAGATAATATAGATGAATATTAAATGTGGAAAAGTGCAGTGTTTGCTGTGGTTAACATAAGTAGCATTTCCTGTTTAGCTAGGCTGTCTTAGGCACCATTTAGTGCTCCTGCAGCCTTTGTATAGAAAATGAGGAAAGGGAGGTGTGCCTGAGAGTCCCTAATTTAGATGTCTAAAGTTAGAATTTGCAACTAACCTTCCCCATCCCCCTTCTCCCATAAGTGCTCCAGAATCTTCTATCTTCATCAGTTCGCCTTGAAAAATTCCATTTCTCACTGGCGTGCTACATTGGGTTAGTGGTCTGGATTTCACATCGCTTATGCTTCACCAGAAGATCGTTGTCTGTACAAGAACTGGATGAAAATGCACGAGTGTTCCCCTGACAGGGTCTAACACTCCAGGACAATAGCTGGGGGACTGGCAAAATGTCAATTGGTTTTGCTGTTAAAATGACTCTGAGGGAATGTGTAAAATAATAGAGAAAGTAAAATCCTATTCTTGTTTGGCATTTTCCTGTGCTAAAGCAGCTCATAGACTGTTGTGTCTTATGTCTGTTGTATGAATCAGAAACATACTGTATAATTGCATTATGTCTGTGTGGAGAGAAAAATGAAGGGGAGACATTTGTGGGTCTTTATTTTTAACTTGGTTATGATTTCTAAAGCTTCTGTACTGCAGAGACCAAAGACCTTATATCATTGCTGTTGGGTAGTAAGAGTGCACTGATACTAATCTCCGCCATGTCAGAATTGAATTGAGGGTCTGCCGAAGCTTAGTTAAACCATTGGGAAACATATAGGTGAAATATAACTTGGCTTTACATTATATAGAGCAGACCTAGGACTGTTTCTGTTCTCATGAAGAGAACGTGCATTGCAGTACGTAGTGCTCTAGAGAGTTATTTGCTCTCCTGGAAATCTGTCCTGGTGAAGAATCTAAATAATCACAGCATTCTCATATTTGAGCCTAATAGATATTAATGGTCAGTTTCATTTGATGTCTAGCAACCGGTAAACTTTTTTAATCATGTGATGTCATATGTACGTTGTAAGTTTGTATGATTATACCTGGTGATTTTCATTTAACAAATCTGTTGTGTTGTTTTTTTTTTCTCCCAGAAGCTCTTTTTCCTAGAGAAAAATCAGTACTGATAGCTCTCCATGTATGAATAACTTTGTAACAACAAACCAGAAAAAAATTACTAAATATTTATATGTAGTTTCAAAGAAGGGCTAAGAAGCAAGCAAAATTCATTTTAAATTAATGGAAACAATTCCTAAGCCATATTTGTTGCACAAAACCCAGAATTTTAGCCTGAACTTTACCTAACATTTGCTTCTAAGCTGTGATTAAGTGAAAGTCTTAATTTAAGTTGTGGCTCCTTTTTTTGTAGGCGGAGGACGAGAGAAGAATTCAGTAAGAATTATGCTCATAAAGTTAATAATAAAGGTACACTCATAGTTTTGAGTGATCAGCAAAGATTGTATCTCTTAGAAAAATAATGTCTTGATCGTGTACTGGAAGTGTGACTAAAAGGGCATCTCAGTATCATTCTTTTGAGGTGTCCTTGGTTCACTTGTTTTACATTGTGTTTTACTGCAGTCCTTGTTTCCTATAAAGTGCCTTAAATAAAAACACTTCAGACCTCCAACCTACATTTTTATTGTCATCTTCTAGGTTGACTGGGGTCAACTGGATTATTTAGTAATTGACATGCCACCTGGGACTGGAGATGTACAGCTGTCAGTCTCACAGAATATTCCGATTGCAGGTATGTGTGTTGCTTGACTGTTTCAGAGATTTGAAGTTAGTTAAGTCTGGTAGCTTTAGAAAAATCTTATTTTAGAATGCCAGTCAAAATTTCTTTTAATTGTCTTTCTAACACACTAAGAAACTGTTCTGTCAGTCGTGTGGTGATGAAAAGTACTGTCAGTGATTTTTAACATGTTAGCATTATGATTGTGTTACTTTCTTCTAAGCTAAGTTTTGAAAAGATTGAAAAGTCAAGTATAGTAGTACTCTGGAAGGAAAGACAGTCATACCAAAAACTGGTAAGGTTAGTAGAAGAAAATATTTTCTTTATCTGTACCTACTGCATAGTAAAGCTAACACAATAAAATAGTTTGTCTTCATGATTGCTTTTTAATTAGAAGCTGACAAGTATAGATAAACTATGCAGTACTGTAATACACTAATGCATTCTTTTTCCTCTCGATATGAATTTGACTTTTTGTAGGGGATTTAAACTTTGGTAAATCAATCTTGAGATACGCAGGCTGCTCTCTCATCTCATTCATTTCAGCAGGGGTTAGAAATGCTGCTTCTGGAAGGATGCTGAGCACCTCACGAGATCTGATAGACTATAATGTTTTTTACCTGTCTGACATACTTCAACAGAAGCAGTTGTCCATAGCCAACATAATCAGTGTTAGGAACTCAGTGGTGAAAGAGGCAAATCAATCCTTATGGTTCTAGGAACAATTTAATAATTGCTGCAGCTCTTCACCAGGAGGGTGATGCAGCACTGGAACATGCTACCCAAAGAGTCTGTGGGATCTCCATCAGTGGCAGTTGTCCAGATTGTGCTAGACAAAGCCCTATCTGGCCTTATCTAGTGTTGTCAATAGATGACCTCCAGAGACCTTTTCCAACCAGAAATTCTGTGATTCTGAGTTATTAAGTAGTCAGTGGGACTGCTTGCTCCACTTCCTGGTGACAGCAGATAAATATGTTGATACGAAACCAAAATGGTAGCATCTTTTGCTGCTCTCATTCTTTTCTGAGTGCAGACTGGCTCACGTGGACAGGCAGGCCCTGGTTCCCTCTGACACTCCTTTCTGCACTATGGTGGCAGTAATGCACTCAAATGAAGCCACTGAATATTAAATCTGCAAAACTATTTCACTTGCATGTAGAACTCTTACCAGGCTGCCTGATAAGTTTAACAAATTAGGAATTGTATACCTCTAAAAGTTCCTAGGATAGGACAGGATAAAAGACTTAGCTAAAGGTATAGGTAGAAAGATTGGTGTGCATTATAGACATGCCCACATATAAAAGCACTAGAGCTAGTGGATTTTGGGGCATACGCCCTGGTCTCACAGCAAAACCATCACCACTGTTACAGCGCAGTGAGGTCTACAGGAATGAAAGGAGCCCTTGAACGCTCAAGCAGCACCATGTATCTTTTCCTTAACACAGTCGTGTCTCAGCTGCAGCCATACATGATAACCACCATTACCCATATATCTATAAGCCAAAATTTTGACAAATATTTAAATTCAGTGTTAATACCGCGTGGTGGTATCTCATAATCTCCCATGCTGTCAACTTCAGAAAAACTTAAATCTTTTGGCATATAAAACTCAAATGTTAGAGAACATGCTGACTCAGCCGTAATGCTATTTCCCCAAAATTGCTAATAACCGTGGGAGGTTCTCTCTGCTGTCTATGATTGTGTTGAGTGGTGGAAGGGAGCAGATCAACAGAATCCTGATGAAGGATTTAATGAATTTTTCCCATAAGAAGTAGAAGAGGAGGCTTCTAGTGCCTTAATTTATCTGTGACCTGGAACATATGATGAGAAGCAAACTGTGATTTGTACCCATTTTCTTAAATACGGTGCTTAGTAGGTTGCATGTGTAAGTAGCAAAGCAGGAGGGCCTTTTACTCCCAGGGTTTTAAGCAATAAGGTGAAGTATGACAGTGGTATGGAAGTTTTTGGTAAAGTAGAATTTCACATTAAATCTTGTACGTAAGGGCAGTAAAATTATGAAATTAAAGAGGTGTGGCTTTATCTTTGTGGATTATGGGGTTTTTTAAAGTGTGGTGGGTATAGATAATTGCTGTTCACTACAGTGCACCTGAATGTCCGAATTTAACATAGAAAAGGTCATTAGACTCTTGATCTTCAAGAGATTTTTTTATGCCCTTTTCCCACAGAACTCTACAGTCTTCAGAAGTGTGAGTGGTTGTGGTGCTAGTGCACTGGGTCCTATGGGACAGAGAGGTGATGGAGGAAAGCATTCCTCCATCCTATATTTTTTCTAAGTTTTGCTGAGGTCTGTTTTTGGAAGGTCACAAGATCTTTCTAACTGATTCAACACATCAGTAAATGGAAACCTTAATTTCATTTTTTTCATAATACTTACATCTTCTTAGAATGTAATAGATGGTAACAAAAGCAAAACAAGTTAAAAAAGCTGGATTTTCTTGCTAAGGACAACAATGTCCTCATTCTTGTGTGGGTGTAACAAAGTGAAGAATTAAGAGTCAATAATTTTTATTCAGTATTTTAATTAGTTTTCCATATGACTGTCAGAAACCTGTGGTTCTCATACCTGTTGAATCAGGTTTTGAGGCAAGTCAAAGTAGACAAGATGTTGATTCAAAAAAAAGGAAAACAGGTTTAAAATAACAACAAGCAATGCAGATTTTCTTGATATGCCATAAAAGGGCATAAATTCTTACCCATGTCTCTCTTCACTATGGCTTTCTGGCATCTTTTTTCTGTTTGTTTGTTTGGTACAAGTATGGGCATTTACGAATTCCTGACTGAAGACAGCATTTCGATTTGAATTCTGAAATGGCTTCACATTGTTACCACAGTTGCTCCGTTCAGCTTATTAAGTCATCAATCCTAACTTCATAAAATTAGGAGAGCAAGCATCACTTTCCATTTGTCTTTCCCATTATTTGGTTTTGTTGAGCATGTTGAGGTTGACTCTTGCAGTTTAAAAAAATAAGTGTATTGTGCTTTTGATGAAGACAAGCGCAGCAGACAAGGAGTGATAAGATTTGTAATTCCCTATGTTCTTACTGGCTCAATGAATTTTAGTGGTTTATAAAGAATTTCCTCTGTTGTGTATTGTAGGTACTTTTCATTCTCATTGGAAGGGCTTCTTTTTGTGTATTACAGCTTGAACTGCACTTTCTTTTTTCGCTCATTACTTGGTTTCTGTCTGTTTGACAGTCCACAGCCTTGTTTAGCATGCTTTTATTTTCTTCAGCCTTGTTCCTTTCAAGGGTACGGAAGATAGTGTTACAAATCTTGATGATGATGTCTTTGGAGCAGTCTACAGAATTCTGCTGTTTTTGTGGGCTCCATCTTCATTTGCAATTCATTTTTTCTAAGCTGTGTGTTCTCTTTTTATTTTTTTACAGAAGGTGTTTGGTAGCATGCCATTCTGCTCCCTCACCAGTTTTCTTGTTCTTTCTTTATCCTTTGAGGATGCCTTGGACAGTCATGGTATTAGTGGCATAATTTCTCTCTTTTTCCTCAGAGACAGCATGTATCTCTTAGTTAAGTACATTTAGAAGTGCATTATCTAGTTTGCATGAAAGTTGTGCTTTGATTTGCATGCATGCGTATGTGAGATACAGTATTTGCATTACGGTGTCTTCATTATTTATCTCTGGCTTCCTAGGGATAGACTGTAGAAAATTTTTATTCTGTCTCAATAAATTTGTACAACCTGCAGACATATTTTTGCCAGCCAGTTACAGATTTTTCTTGTGAGTGTGAGAAAGAGCACTGCTAAAGATGTTTTGTTTGGGGTGGGTTTGCCCAGATGAGGCATGAAAAACTGTAGCATTGCAACATCTGAGAATAAGAGAGGGACTGATAGGGTGTGTGAAATGCTATTGGGTTTTCATTTTAGAAGACTTTTTTTTATCCTGCATCATAGGTACCATAATTATCTTGAGTCAAAAAGAGATTAGAGCAATAGCTAATGGGTAGAAGCAACACAACAAAATACATCTTATAATTCTGGTTGTCATTTAAGAGAATATCAGCCTCACACAACTTCAGCTGGAGTGACAGTTTTGTATGGGTACTTCTCCTTCTTTAAAAGAAGATAAAAAAGGAAACTACAGTGACTTTCGTTTTTTTATTTTATTATTCTTAGTCACCTTACAAGGAGATGCATCTTATTTACATATTATTCTTTAATAATCCATAACTTTTCTCATTTTGCAATCATTCTTCAACAACTAGTACAAGAGAAATTATATGATAGCTTGAAGATGTGTCGTATATTTGTCCTGGTTTCAGCTGGGATAGAGTTAATTTTCTTCCTAGTAACTGGTATAGTGCTGTGTTTTGGATTTAATATGAGAATAATGTTGATAACACACTGATGTTTTAGTTGTTGCTAAGCAATGTTTATACTAGTCAAGGACTTTTCAGCTTCCCATGCTCTGCCAGGTGCACAAGAAGCTGGGAGGGGGCACAGCCAGAATAGTTGATCCAAACTGACCAGAGGGCTATTCCATACCATATGGCATCAGGCTCAGTATGTAAATGGGGGGGGGTGGGCTGGGGGGCAGCGATCGCTGCTTGGGGGGTACGCTGGGCATTGGTCAGTGGGTAATTGCATTGCGCATCACTTGTTTTGTATATTCTTTTATCATTATTATTACTTTCTCTTTCTCTGCTGTCCTATTAAATTGCCTTTATATCAACCCGTGTGGTTTACTTTTTTTTTTTTTGTTTGTTTGTTTTTGTTATTCTCTCCCCCATCCCACTGCAGGGGAGGAGGGTGAGTGAGCAGCTGTGTGGTGCTTAGTTGCTGACTGGGGTTAAACCATGACAATATTTCTGTGTTACCACGACATCTTCCTTCAGATGCAAGTCTGCTTTCCAAATAGAAATCCAGGGTTAGTCTGGAGAAAAGGGCTTTGTTTATGGTCTGTTGTTACTTAATTTGTATTTAGTTCTTCTACTTTACTTGTAGTTTGTTCTTCTGTTTCGTCTTTCGCATGAGATGT